TCCCCACATACACACATTTGGTTAAGTCACACTTCTCTTGTTCTTTTAAGTAATTCCTGGTAAATTAATGCCCTTGGGTCCCCACTTGCCAGTTTGTCTTAAAACTGTTTCTGGCCACAACTGGCTGAACTGCCTTTAGCATTCACTTGAGCACTAACTTTGAGGAGAGATGTCAGAAGTCTCCTCAATCTGTGACACTGCAGCAACCTACAAGCTGGGTTTTGTTCTGTACCTTTTTGAATTCTTACATACTACACCCACTGTTGACCTTTTTTGAACAATTTTCTTTAGAAAGAAAAGGTTTTCTTCATTTTATAAACGTGACAAATTCAATTTTCTTTAGAAGCTTATTATGAAAAAGCAAAGACCATGTTGCAAAGAGAATTGGTACCAACACCAGATCAACATCTTTGGAAAAAATCCCTATAAGCAACAAGGATCGTGATCTGTTTTGGAAAGAGACACAGTCACACATCTCCCCATCCTAAAATACTCACGCTAAGTTATAACACATGAAAGCAAACCCCGACAGCAGCAGGAAGGCCTGGCACGTAAGTCAAACTATGCACAGTGCAAATGCTGTGCACGTTACCAGCATCTTCTTCAGCTGGGAGGTACCTACACCAACCAGCGTAACAAAACTGCAACCCCAGCTGAATTTCTAGGTATTTTTGTGGTAAAAACACTAACTAGGAAACAGAAACAGCAGCACTTTTGAATATTTCACAAAACACACACAAGTGTTTACAGATGCTATAACACAACTTATGAATTATTTACTGAATTAATTCAGTATGTTTATTGCTTGTTCTGTGTGATGTTAGATTTGCAGTGACACAAGCATAGTCTGTCTCTGTAAACAAGAACAAAGTTCATTTGCAATTTAATGAACTCCTCCGACACTTAGCAAAACACCCAGATAATGATGGTATCAAAAGGATCTCGAAAATATTTACTATTCTACATAAAAGGGTTAATTTACTGGCATGAAAGATGGCTTGTATTCAGGCTTGTTTTCTATAAATGACCCAAATAAAAATAAAGTCTTGCAGCTGGATGGGCAGTAAGTGTAACTGGTGAAGTCCCCACACGTCTGTATTTGGCAGTTTACAGGCTGGAAGAAGAAAAACCGCTTGCAGTAAAGAGTATTGTCTTCTTTTGAACAGACACAAGTAAGCAAGGGGGAACAGAGACGAGGTTGGTGTGGGGCTGCTTGCCCCATATTGCACAGATGTGCTCAATGTCATCAAAATTACACAACATGACAAAAAGTTCAGAAAAAGTTGAATTCTTTGAAAATGCTATGAAGAGCACACTGCCGCTCAGATAAGCTGATTTCTGTAATACTCACTTATTTTAAGTTTTACGTTTTTTCTGCTTCCCATCCAACTGCCTCTTAAAAATCTCAGTCAGGCAGAATTCATTTTAAACTCATTTATTCCCAAAATGTAACGTGCTGCTGTGTCTCTGTCTCTAGCAGCTATCAGCACAAACCCACAAAAGCTAGTGATTTACTACCACGGAGACCAACTCCCGAGGATACAAGAACTTAGGACACCAGCTCACCAGTGGTACCACAACAAAGCAATTGGCCAACCCAGCCTCAGCAATGACTTGTAGCAAGGCAGCCACACTCTCGGGATACAAAGACATGGCTTGAACAGTTTTAGGGCCCAGCAGGGCTTGAGATCCCCCAATCCTGCAGCCGCGGAGTGGCACGGACCAGAGGCCACTCTTCTCCTTTCTCACCTGAGAGCCACCTGTAGCCACTTATTCTCTCTCCAGCTTTTCACCACCTGGGAAGTCCCAGTTTGTGAGGACAGTCACACTGGGATGGATGTGGATGCTGGACAGCAGCGAAAACACAGTCCCTGCACGGAGCAGGTAATAGAGCGCACATGGCGTAGGCAGGACTAGAGTAAACGTTGAAAGAGCTGTGACAGGAGGTTCAACAAGAGGTTTTGAACAGGGGCACGTGTCGGTACCCGCCCCACACACACCTCACAGACACACTCAGGCACTGGGAGATGTGACATTCCAGCCACTGTATCAGAACGTGGCCACAGCTGAGGAGAGAGGCAGCTGTAATTAACGATCTACCAAGATTGAACAGAGATCCCAAAAGAACAGCCCCCTGCCACCGCAAAAGTCCCGAGAGCTCTGTTCTCTGCAGCTCTATGTGCATTTCTGATACTTCTCTTCTAAGGGCTGGAGGTGGGAGGGAAGCAGACTGGAAACGATGCAGACAAAGGTGATCAAAGGCATACAACATCTTCTACGTAAGCATGACCTAAGCAAGCAAAGATTCCCCAGTCTGGGAAGGAAGGATGTCACAGAAGGTAATAGAGTCATGAGTGGCTCAGGATTGAGAAAGACCAATTTTTCATTGTTTCTCCCAATGCAAGAACAAATCAAACGGAGCTCAAAGGTGGCAGGATCAAAACAATCTAAAGGAGGTGGTTCCTTGCACCAAGCTTTGGTAAGCTGTGAAATGCCTTGCTACAGGATACTGTGTGCATTAGCCATTTACAAGCTGTCAAAGGGAAAACTGGACAATTTCAAGGACTCCGCTGGGCCTCACTAAACATGCAGAAGTCACAACTCACAAAACAAGTAGCTGATCCAAAAACTACTGAAAACTAGATTCAGCCGAACATGGAAATGGCTCTGAGAAAGAAACATCTGAAACCATGACCAACACCAGTTTAGAATTAGGTACAATTTCTACATATTTACTCTAGCAGCAAGCAAGCCTCAAACCTTCAAAGAAGTCTCACCAAATTAGTTACATAAATCATGAAAAGCCTTTTATAAGCTAATCTTTCAGAAATTAAAATCCTCAGGCATCAATGTTTCTCGTGATCAAACACTGGAATGAACACTTTTTTGAGGACCCTCTCATGGAAACACCAGAAGTCAGGGCTTTTATCTGGAAGTGAAAACCAAACTGAAAGAGGTACCTCACATGTCAGGAGAAACAAATCAATTTCCCTTCTAGAGAGATGAAATCATCAATGCCTGCAACATCGTTCTGAACTTCAATTTTCAAATAGAGACACTTAAAGCTTCTTAATCTTGTTGCTAGCTGCCATTCTTTTTTGTGGTGCCAAAACACTTCCATTCTTGCTGAATTTCATGGCGAGCTAGAAGTCCCATCCTCGAGTCACAGAAAGGAGCTGTTTGACTCTTTTGGGATAGAAAGCAACAAGCATTTATGTGACCCAATGCAATGAAAAACCTTACGATTCCTACAGGATTCAATTCAATTCCACATTGAAGCATTCAGGGAGCTGGTAAGCATAACACTGGCTTTGCAGAAGGAGAAAGCAATTCATGCTTCTCCAACTCATCCTAAAAAATTCCACTCTGGTTCCAAAGCAGGTGAGGCACATGGTGGAGGAGCACACCAGAAACAGGGGCACTGTTTTCATCCCACTGGTTGTTGCTGTTGAGTTTGCAAAGAAAGGAAAGACAAGTAACAAGGGCTGTACAAGTAACAAAGTTGTTACTGGTTGTGACATCCTCAAGGATATTAAGACTGCATGAGAATCTTTGATAAAATCTACACGGGAGATTCTCACTTCGTATTAGGGTTTTTGCACCAGTGACATTACTGCACTCCTCTGAAAACGAATGCTACCCCAGAACTGTCAGTTCTGCAAGGACTCCAGCAGAGGTGACCAAAATGCTGGTACAGACTGCAGGCATCACACTAGAAGCCAGCAAGGTCTCTGCAGGAATAGAGCCGAGGAACTTCACTGGTCCACCCTGAGAAATTGGAGGTCACCTCCTATGTGAAATCATTTTTTCCTGTCAAACTGTTCATCCAGCCTCCTGGCACACATACACCTGAAGCCCTCTACGGTAATGGTTCACCTCAAAGAGACAGACATGCTTTTTTTACTAAACTTGCTTTTAACTCCGTGCAGGCAGGTTGTGTGATAACCTACACGTCCAAAGGCCCGAGCAGCTCCCACCACACCTCAAGACAAGGCCGGCGCGGCACTCTGTCCTTCCTGGTCTGGATGAGACACGGCAAAGGCTGATTCCCGGCAGGCAGCTTCCCGCAGGTACCGCCTGAGGTCACAGGCGGCAGCAAGGGGTGCCAGGAACTACAGTGGCTGGAAAATCGTGGAAACCAAAACGGTCCTCACAATTATCACTGCGCTGCAAAGCTCCAGGCAGGTACACGGCAGCCCTGGGGATGGCTCCGTCACGGCCCACGGTGCTCTCTGCTGACCAGGGATGCAGGGCTTGGGCGGCTGCTCTTTGTGTGGGACTGGACAGGGCGGGCCCTCACCTCCCGGGACCGGACGGGCAGGGCCTCCTGCCTCGCCCCACCGTACCTCAGAGAGCTGGACGGGGCAGGCGCCGCCCTCGCCTCACCGGGCAGGCCCCCGCCTCGCCTCACGGGATGGGGCAGGCCACCCCCTCACCTCAGGGAGGCGGGACGGGCAGGCGCCCACCCCTCACCTCAGGACGCCGGCCCATACGGAGGAAGTCGTCCCCCCGCCGGGGCCCCTCCCCGGCCGCGCCCGGCACGGCGCCCTCAGACAGGGCCTCGCCCCCCCAGCCACCAAAGCGGCCCCGGGCCGGGCCGGGGTGCGGGAGTGGCCCCGAGCCGCCCTTACCTGCCGC